ATATTTCATTGAAATGCTTTAGTGAAACCTTTTCCTGTTCCAGATAAATATTTTTTTTTTCAAAAAAAGAAACATAATTTTTTATAATTATATGACTGAAAATTTTTTTTTTTTTTTTTATTCTCTCAGCTGGTATTGTAATTATTTATTATTAAAATTATTATTTTGTAATTAGTTGAAAAAGTTTCGTAATATTTGATAGTAATTTGAAGTTTTTTTTATAATTGAGATTTAATATTAATTACTTGGTTATTTAATAATTGTGTTTTTTCTACGAAGTTACGTAAAATGACAATGGAGAAAAAAACGTTAATATATTTCATTAATTCGGCCTTGATTAGATAATTAGTTTTCGTTCCTTTTTTTGGTTTATTAATTATGAGGTATTAAAATAAGCTGCAACGCTTATTATTTTAATCCAATTTTGGACTAAAATGGATTAAAGTAAGTAAAATTGGGATTAAAATAATAAGCGTTGCAGTTTATTTTAATGCTTTTTAATTTTCTGTGAAAGTATTTAATTTTCCTTTCTTTTTACTTTAAATTTTAATCAATTTTTATTAAAATTTTTTTAATTTTTAATTTTTTTAAATTTTCTTTTTTTAATCTAAAAAAGCTGAATGAATCCTTCTTTCTTGGATTATTAAATGAAAGAGTGAGAGTCTGTGAGTGTTGAAGCGGATGACAAACGCATATATGTATATATATATATGATACGCAATTGTGCTTGAAAACTCGTGCGTGCCTGTTCGTTTGTTCGCGATCGTTAAAACAATGAAATTACAGCCGGAGGTTATTTATTGCAGATTGCCAATTACCGGGCGCATAGATTGCATTGACTGATCGAATGCGTCCCATATTTGGTTGAGATGAGCTCATTCCATCGTTATTATAGTGCCGATGTTTTCATGAGGATTGCGCACGGAAACCCATAAGCAATTAGTCCAAATGTCTACTCATAAAGATAACCAAAGAAAAAAAAAAAAGAAGACAATTTTTTATAATTTCAATTTTTTTTTCTTAAAAAGAAAAAGTGAAAATAAAAATAAAAAATAAATTCACTGAAAATAAAATTATTTTGCAATATATTGTTTGGAATACTTTTTTTTTTGGAACAATGATGAAAAAGAAGACAGTGTCTGCTTCTGGTTTATAAGTGCGTAGAATCGTAACCTTGCACCTGTCGCGACAGCTTACCTGCGCTTCTTTTCTTTGTTTCTTTTCTTTTTCTCCCCATTCTCACTTTGTCTGCTCTCAAAACGAACAATCACGTTGTGTGATTTTTTTTTCTTTTCGTAACAAACTCACATTTATTTGTATTTTATTTATATCTTTATTTATTATAAAATAATTGACGCAAAAGTCATAAATTTTATTGAAAATGTAGAATATTGTTGAGAATTCCAGTCACATAGAGATGCAGCGAAGCGTGTTATCGTTGTATTAAAAAATTCTATGCATCCCCAAGCGCACGGACTCTGTAAACGTGAGAGACGGAAGTAAAGGAATTTTTCTTTAAAACGCAAACTGCCAGAATATATATATATATACTTGCCAGAAAAGAGCAGCCAGACAATTGATTTTGCCTCACCTCGCCCTATTCCATATAAAACGAGAAGCCAGGAAAAGTTTAAACTTTAAAAGCAAATTTAAACCAAAAAAAGTTTTATATAAAAGTTTAATTCATGAAAAAATAAATTCGAAAATTGAATATATTTTGTTTTACGAAAATTATTCATATATTCTTTTTCGTGTAAATTTTTTTTTACAATCATTTCCTGATATCTATCTTTTTTTATTATTTTTTTTTTCGAGGCAAGCGAAAAAAAAATTACCCGATAACATCAGGAATTGTATATATATATGGAGTTTGAGTGAAAATAAATTAGGTGAAGGAGTTTTTAAAAAGCAATTTTCTCACACAATCGTGCAACAACCTCATTATTCAAAGTGTGTGCGATTTTTATCAAAACTTTGCCATTTCCTCTTCTTACAAACTCTCCATATATAATACACATACACAGCAAATATTATAATAAATATATCGAGATTAGCACGCCTCGTGTGTCACTCAACTTTGTATGTCAATGGACCCAGTTATAAACATTATGTAAATATTTTATGTCCCTCTGCATATATATATATATATATATACAATATGTGTGTGTGATAAGAATAGTGATGGCACGTGTATATTTTATAATACAAAAAGGATTGAAAAAATTTTTTTTTTACAATGAATAATAAGAAAGAATATCAATCACATAATAAAGCAAATTTACTCGTTGTTTTATTATTATTATTATTATTATATATAGATGCCATGAAGATTATTAGCAATTTTTTTATTACCAAAGAAGAGTATTAGAAATGTTTTTCCATATTTTGCATTACAAATATATTCAAATGAACCATTGATTATGCATGGATAAATAAATCTAAATGGGTCAAAGAATTATCGATTCTATTTCAAAAAAAAAAATACTTGCGCTTGCTGCTAATTATGCATATTGATTACTGTATACATAATAATTCATTTTTCGTAATAATCAATATAAAACAACTTGTCATTGGGGACAATAAACTTGGTTCTTCTTCTTCTTCGAGTTATTGTAAAACAAAAATAATTTATGAAAATTGGATCAAAATTGTTTAATATTTTTCAATATTTATAATTTTTTTATTTTATTACTATTTAAAAGAAATTTAAAACAAAAATTTTTTCACTTTAATTGTTTTAATTTCGCTTCTTTTTTTTCATTTTAAATATTTTAATTTCGTTTTTTTTTCACTTTAACTATTTTAGTTTAATTTTTTTCCCTTTCAATTCCCACTTGAAAAGATTCCACGGAAAGTGCCCCCTGGAGGTTCTATCAGAATTCCGCCGGAACTTCCAACGTATTTCCGTCGGAATTCCATCGGAGTTCCAAAGAATTTCCGATGGGATTCCAACGGAATTAGGACTCTACAAATTTTGAAAAAAAATTAATCGGAATTCCGTCGGAATCCCATTGGAAATTCTTTGGAACTCCGATGAAATTCCGACGGAATTACGTTGGAAGTTCCGGCGGAATTCTGATAGAACCTCCAGGGGGCACTTTCCGAGGAATCTTTCCAAGTGGGTTGTTTTAATAATAATAATAATAATAATAATAAAATTTATTTCTATATTCAATTTGGATTTTTTTTATTATTAAAAAATACAATACAGTACAGTAATTTGTACAAATGGGCATAGATTAATTGTCCGTCTAAATTAAATAAATAAATAAAAAGGATTCATATTTATTAAATGAAAATAATAATTTGAACTTTCAATTACAATATTGTTTTAATTTATCGATTGTAATTGTCGATTATAAATATATTGTAATTACCATCGATTGTAATCAATTAAAATTGCTATATCGATTTAAGACTGACATTAATTAAGACTAGAGATAATTAGGATCACTATTAATTAAGATCATCATTAATTAGGATCATCATTAATTAGGATTTTTTTTATTAATTAAGATAACCATTATACTGAAAAAAAATTTCAATAATCAATTATACTTGATTAAAATAAATATTTACCTGAACCAAATAATTATGTACTTTATAATAAATAAAATAATTTTTCTTCTTTGGTAGAATATTTGCCAATATATTAAATATATATAATAAAAAGTTGTATATAAAAAAAGAAAGATTAAATTTTTTTGTTTTGCAAATTATGATTCTAATATAAATTATTTTTTCTGTTTTACAGGTTAGTCAAAAACAACAAAAGATGTTTTCAATCCAGCAATTCGTGAGTAACAAATATTATCTAATTTAATTTCATCTTATTGTGGAATTGTTAATTTAAAAAAATATAAATTAAAAAAAAATATATCTTTTTTTTGCAATATTTTTTTTCAAAGCCAGTCTAATTTAGATTGTCATTAATTTTTTTTTTTTTTTTGCAATTCGCGACGCCATTTAGTTCCGGAAGTTTTTCGAATATTATTATCGCAAATCATCCTTTTTTTCTCCCGCTTGAAATATACAACATAGTGAATCACATACAGAAACGAGAATAAGTATTTCCGGTTTCAAGTTTTACCCCACAATAGAGTTTGCCATATAAATCTGTTGTCTTTTTTTTTTATTTTATTTTTTTTTTGCGTATTTTTAAATTAAAATCATCCGACTGTGACGAATTTTTTTTTTTTCTTTTGCAGTTGCAAAATAAGAACGACATAGTGTGTGATATTACCTCGGGCATTATACGAGTGACATAATGGGGGGGGGGGGGGGTAAAAAAGGAATATGAAGTAGTGTGGCGAGAGAAGAGATTCCAAATGGGATAACATAAAGTGGAAAGGCATGTCGAACGATTTTTGCGCATAAAAAAAAAAATCTCTTTTTATTACTTTCTTTCTATAAATCTATATTCATATATTAAAATTAGTTTTCTCGTTAAATTTAATATGAAAATTTTTTTCCTCTGACAAATTTTATTTTACTTTTTTAAATTAAAATTAAATAATTAATTATAAAGTTTATATAATTTGATTTTTTCGAAATTATTTAAAAATTCCCCCTTATTTAATAATATAAAAAAAAATTATAAATAATGAAACAATAATGAAAATAATTATTTTGAAATGATTTAAAGAAATGAAAGTATACGGATTAATTAGTTCAACCCATACTAGGATTTAATTAGATTCATTATTCTGACGTTATAATCATCTTTTCGTGATATTAATTAAAAGATTATTATTGTATATAAATAAGGAGTTTATAAAAAAAAAAAGTCATTAGACATAGCAAAGTGGCTAATTAGTTTTTCTATCTCGCGATGTTTATAATTGGAAAAATAGTAATTTGCTTGTGATGCGTATAAAAAAATGTAGAGTCGTAAAATTAAAAAAAAAAAAAATAGAGGCAATATAAAAAGTATATCGCGAAAATTAGTTGAGAGCAATAAAAAAGAATATTGCAAGAAATTAATTCGTGACAGTACTCACCTGATCAGTCATATTGTATCCGTCGTGATGATACGACGTCTGATGGTGCTGCGGTACGCTTAGAGACAAGTCGATGTTGTCACTTCTCTGCAAAAAAAAAATTTTTTTTTTTTACATTTGTCAAATTATTTTTTTATTTTAATTATTTCATTATTTTTTCTAATTTAATTATTTTAATTTAAAGAATTTTATTTTTTATTAAATAAAAATTTCCCCCCTTCTTTGTGCAATTAAAATAAAGTAAATTAACAAAATAATTTTGAAAAAAAAAAATCAAAAACAGAAATGCCGCATTGTTTAATTTAAATTCAGAAACTTATTGCGTAATTAAATAAATCATTCTCTGTTCAATTAAATGTCAGCTTCACTCTGTTCAATTAGAAACGCGAGTTTTATTTACTCAATTAAATAAATCAATTTTGTTTCAGAATTAAATTTCAAGATTTATCTGTTTATTCACAGTAGAATTTATATATATATTGTCGAAATAATTAAATTGAAATATATTTGTTTTAATTAAATTAGATTTGCAAATATTTATTAAATTATAATATATAATTCGGCAAATCAAATTTGAATACAGGAAAGAATTAAAATTACAAAAATATAATTATTATATAAAAAAAAAATAAAGGGAAAATTTTTATTATTAATTATGTTTTTAAAATATGCGGTTACTTTGCCGGAAAATAGAGTCATCATTAAATTACAGCAATTATGAGTTTCGTTTTATGTGCGTTCAATTAACCTCGCCCACCTTTAAATATAAATGTCCCTTAGGAGATTTCTAAATTGATAAAAATTAGAAAAACATAAAAATTACAGAAAACAAGAGTCTTAATTTAAATGTGTTTAACATTCAATTCCGGTTTTTATACTTTCACAAAGTTGCTAATAGATAAACATAATTATTTAATATATTAAAAAATAAAAAATAAATTGTAACTTGTTTGGCAAGCATTAACTGACAAATGATGGATATAAATCGATTGAAAGGAGATTAGCGTCAGAAAATGTTTTCTTTCGGAGCGTGCCGTTGATTCTTATGGGTTTTTTTTATTTTATTTTTTTTTTTTTTCCTCCTCAACTCTTTTAAAGGCCTCGAAGGTAAAGAAATCGCCATCATTTGTTCACCTGCCAATCGAGATCACGGCAGGTCTAGAACTCTCTTAAGTTAGTCGTTTCATTCCCACGACTGCGGGAAACGAGTCTCAATAGCTCGTTTTATTATAAACTTCGATAACGGGTTCTAATGACTTTATCGATCGTTAAATCGTGTATCTATAGGTAATCGTGTCAGCCGTCAGTTGATAATATAATATAAAGGAAAGAAGGACAAAATGTTAGATGATCGAGTGCATTTCAATGAATATAGAGAGAGAGAGATGAAATTTTATATTTATATATTATAAGTTTAACACTCGATGAGTGGTCACGTGGCAGTTACAAAATATTTTGCAACAAGATTATAATATACAATAGAAAAATTGTAAAATTATTTTTCGATTGTTTTATCATTAATTTTTAATTCAATTTTTATTTTAAATTAATTTTCGACTAATTTTTTATGAGCCAAAAGTTTTGAACGTTCAAATGAACAACTTGTTTTTTGTAACCTTCTTTAGGTACGAATTTTATTACAAAATATTGTTTTAAATATCTACAAAGAAGTTATTAATTTAATATTTGTTTAATTTACTATTTTATTTTACATTGACATTATAATTTCTACTAATTTATAGATTGCAAAAAAAATTTGTTCATTTGAACGTTCAAAACTTTTGGCTCATAATTTTTTAATATAATAATAAAAAGCATTTTTTCTTATTAATTTTTATGCCTCATTTTTTTTTTTTTTTAAATATTTGATATATTTTTGGTCTGATTGAATTAGAATTTTGATACAATTCAAAATGTAGTAACAATTGCATTTAGACTTTAATTATTCAAAGGAAGTTGTTACAATTTATCAACCCTCTCTCTCTGACTCTTGAAGTTGCACTCAATGAGGTCTCTTGCGGTTTAGCACTATACAATGAAGTTAGCAACCACAGCTGTGCACACTAAACATAAGTCTGTTGACTCGTAGCAATGTTTGTGTATGGAATTCCTTTCGCTTTAGTATATCAAAAAAAAACAAAAAAATTTTCAACTTAATGACAAAAGTGTGTCTCCATTTTTCTTTTTTCTGGTTAATTAAATGACTACCTGGCAGCTGCCATCATCAGAACCTTGAGACGAATAGGGGAATTTGTAATTAAGAATTAAAAAAAGTCATCAAGATAAAATCTCTCTAAAATTTTTTAGTTTCATTGATATTTATTTTATTCACATAAAGTTTGATGGAATTGTAATTTTTTTTTTATTTTTTGCGACATGGTAGAAGGTTTATAACCTTGTCAACTAAACTTTTCATTCTCGTGTATGCATATATATATATATTTATAATTCAACCTCAATGTGTACCTGTCACAGTCGTTAATAGAGAAATACGAGAAATATGTTATTAATAAACATGTACATACTCGTTTCGTTAGCAATTAATGTCCATCCACTGACAGCTTTATGAATCGTTTATAAAATCGAATACTGAACAATAGCGATAAACAATTTTGTTCCCGTTTACAAAAAAAAAAAAGAAATTCACAAAACCTAATTGAATCAACATTTTCACAAAAAGAAAAAAATGTCAAATTATTTAATAAAATAAAATCTATAATTTAAAGTATTCTACTTTTTTGTTTAAAAAAAAAAAATTCGCTGAATCACATTTACTTTTATTATATTATTATTATTATTATTATTTTACACAAAAGGCAAATCTATCATAATAAATATGATTGCAAAATATATAGTACGCTTTAAAATGTAGTCGTGTCGTAATATTATATTGTGAATGTAGGTCGTTAAATGAATATAAGAAAATGTAGTTTCACTCCGATATTTAATCAGATTAGTGAATAAAAATTTCTCAGTTATATATATAAATTTAAATTATTAATATTTAAATTGAAAATAAAAATTTGAAATAAATCCCCTTGAAAAATATATTTAAATATTTTATAATTCAAATTTTTTTTATATAGGTTAATTGAAACCCGGAAATTGATTATTAGTTTTTTTTTTAATCAAATATTTTTTTTTTATCTTTTTGGAATTTCACATATATTTGAATTTTAAAATTTGACTATTTTTTTATGGAATCATTGCTCAATGCGATCAGTGTTATTTTATTTAATTTTACTTTCTCGCTTTAGCTTCATTGCGAAATCGTTTTCTCCGCTCCAATTCCATTTTCGCAAGCAAAATCGCGCAATCCATCGTTAAAGTATAAGAAGTTTATGAAAAAAAAAAAAATAAAATAAAAAAAAATAAACCTCTCATATAAGTTCCATTGTTTCCTATCACGTACAGTTCCGGTCAAAATTGTCGAAAAAAATTTTTTAAATTAAATATTCTTAAATTAAATTCCTAAATTAAATTCTTAAATTAAATTCCTAAATTAAATTCTTAAATTAAATTCCTAAATTAAATTTTATTAATTAAAATAGTTTTTAATTTACAAAAAGCAATAGTTTCTTTAAAATACAATGAAAACTTTCTATTTTAACAAAGTATTATAATAATAACTCTTTTTTTTCTGAAAATACTTAACGTTTCCCATTATTTCATATACTTATGAGATGCCTTTTGTTTCTTTGTTATATTTCGTCTTTTGTTGCGTTTTTTTTTATAGCTTCATTAATATTCTATTTTTTTAACTCTTTGTCTTATTAAATATCTCACAATTGTTTCGTTGTCATTACAACACAAACTTTTTTTTGTTTATTTTATTATTTATTTTTTTTTTTTTTTTATAAAAAATGACATAAATCGACTGATTATTATTATTATTCTGTTAAAAGAATGGATTTTCTGTGAATGAGAAATTGATGAATGTTATTGTGTGTTTAAAAGAAAATTTAATTCCAAGGACAGAATTGAAAATGTCACAATATTTAAAATCGTGTGCATATATATACACTCAGAAAAAAATTCGTTTGAAGCAACCAAATTTTGGTTAAATCAACAAAATAAATGCAGTTAACCAAACATTTGGTTGCATAAACCAAACGTTTATTTAGCTCAATCAAATTTTTTTCTTTGTTCAAAAAATTTATTAAAATAAAACCAAACAGTTATTTAGATCAAATAAATATTTATTTGAATTAAACAAATTTTGTTTGAACTAACCAAAAAATTGGATAAATATAAAAAAATGGTACATTTGGTTCAAACATATCTTTTTTCTGAGTGTGTTATAGACAATAAAATTTTCACAGAGATGTAAAAAAATATTAAACCAGTTTTGCAAATTTCTTTTCACTTTTTTTTTTTTTTTATTTATGCAAATGAAATTTAACGGTCGTTAAAATTATACTCTAATTTATGTTAACATTAAATTCAATTTACAAACAACTTCTATTTATTTTAATACTATACATTAAAAATATAGGAAGACAGATTAATGTAAACCTTTTCTATACTTAATTATACGTCTTGTATAATTTCGAATTTTTCATTTTATTCTTTTGAAAGAACAAAATTCATAGAAAATCCAATTTTGAAAAAAACATAATTAGATTTTAAAAATTTTAAGATGTTTTTTTTTGAACCAAATTTTATTTTTATAAAATTGAGGAAAATTGGAGAAATAAGGGAGGTTTTTTTTTAAAAAAAAAAGAGTTTCAATTAGATGTTGATTTGTTGCAATTGGTCATTTCTTGGAACGTGGAGGGGTAAAAAAAATAATATATGAACCTACTCACTCGAATTATCGCAATTACGCACAAATTACGGGTCCTCTCTCTCTCTCATCCCATGGTTATATTGCATTGCTTGGACGGATATAATTCTTTGGTTTCTTTTTCTTCTCCCCCCCCCCTCCTTACCCCTTGTTTCTTAACCCAAGTTTTCTTAAGCAAAGTACACATTACCCATATCATAAAGAACAAAGACACAGAAGATATACTTTTCAGGACCCCATAAGTAGTGAAAAAAAAAGAAAAAAACAAAAATTAAAGTAGATAATGCCTTTGCTCTGCATT